AGATCTGAACATGTTTTATGAGTTTTCTGAGTTTTTGAAGTATTCCGAGTTCTGAGTTTTTTGAAGTACCGAGTTTAAGTATTGAGTTATGATGTTATGTTGCTGTTTATCGATCCTGATGGTCACACAAGAATGTGTGACCAGAGGGGGGAATGTGAGATTTCATAACACTTTTAAGCAACTTTTGTTAAAGTTAAACTCATCATTCTATCAATGTGCAGAAGCCAGTACTTTTCCCTTGTTTTGTCTATCTGAAGGCCAAGCTACAAGCACACTGTGGAAGCTGCTGATTGGAGGTCTCCATGCCTCCGCTCTATATAATACACTTGCATTCTGTTGTATCTGTTGTTCGTGCTGTCTCTACCATCGACAATAAAACATGTCTTCTGTCTGAATTTAAGACGCGATCCCAGACTTGGCTCATCTTCTTCAGGTGGTGAAAGGATGCGGGCCTTGTCTGTAACATCTAGAGAACAGAAGACTACTTTTTTTTACACAAAAAGTGTTTTTTTTTTTTAAGCCAAAACTGAGAAACCTCAAGAGAATGCATCTGGATCAGCACACTTGGACAATCTGCACAGCCCCTGACTCCACTCAGGCCTGCTGTGAGCTGCTGAGACATGGACAATACCATCGTCCTCTTTTTCATGGAAATCATTTGGAACAATTGGATTTCTGAATTTGGGATCAGTCCCCCCCTAGCCATGGCCCTAGGGGGGGATATATCCCCCTCAATTTTCTTAGACATGCATGTATACAATTCTCACATCAAAAAGTGCAATAACATTATTTTCATTGGGATACATCTGATCTGGCTCACTGTCTAATCTATAATCTAAAACATGATGATAGTAAAAAAAATTACATAAAAACACCAAATCAGAAACTTCCATACAGGAATAATGTGTTCTGAAAAGGAGTCTCATCAGCTGAATAGCGGTTCTCTTTTTTGAGGTCTTGCAGATTTAGTTTTAAGCGTGATTTTCACTGTATATGAACTTGGTGTGTTCATCCTGATTGGCTAAGGAAGAACCAGTGTATTGTGTTCTGCGTCCTGATTGGCTAAGGGGTAATCTCTGTGCCGTGTTTCCTGTATCACAGCATTCACAGTCTGATTGCAGTGTGACTGTAAGTGTTGTATGCTAATTTTCTCCTTGACAAAACCGTGGACTAAACCCACCACATGGTTAGTGCTAAAAAGTTGAACTTCTGGACATGTTGCAACGATGACAGCAAAGAGGAGCACGGTGCGGAGCCCAGGCCTTTGACGAGGGATTTTCACACAGCACTAAGCCCATTTTTTTCAAAAAAAATTACAATTTTGATTTCAAGATTTCAGAAGGCTATAACTTTAAAGTTTGAGATGAAGGCATTTTGTAAATGAGAACTATCTTCAGTATGAACCAAACTTTGGGATGGAAGTTGATTCGTCATCTAATTTGCATATTGTGACGTCATCAAGGTGGTGGCCATTTTGGAAAATGTTAATTATTGTATAAAGATTTCAAAAAGCTGTAGTTTGAGAGTGTATTTTGAGATCAGGGAATACCATCAACAGTCTACGTGAAATATCTTTAGTATGAAAACACAATGTGGGATAGAAATAAATTCACTGATCAAATTTATATAGAATATTTTAGCACTGGTCCACGGCCATATGGAACTGTATTAGACCTTCAATGATCAAGATGGCACTGCTTATAGTTTACCAGTCATGAAATCTGCACTTTGGTTTCAATATTACCCTTTCAAAAGACCTGGTGGCATACAGTTTATCTCAGTGGAAATGAGACTCCAGAATTCATCGTTTAGAAACAGAGCGATTAAATGAATGGGCTCAGAACTTGTCAAATTGTCTCAACAATAAACAACAGGCTCTTCAACATTTCTGATCCACTTTTATGGATTATCTTCTCTAAAGAACTGCATTCATCATCATCATCTCCGTCCGTAAAGGCAGATTAGCGGTGCGTTTTCTTTTGTGGCTTCTGCCACGTCTCCTGCGTTCCCCGCGGTTGTTTAACCCTGCTGCATTCACCCATATGCCCGGTGTTATGATCCCCCTGTCCCCTTCACCACGTCTCCTGTCTGGTGTTCGCAGAATGTTTCCACTGTGGCCGCACACCGCGGTAAAGAGGTCCGGCTTTTCGGAGTCAGCGGTAGAGAGGTCCGCACATTAAAAGCGGGTGGCCGCTTTATGTTAAAAAGTGCATTGTGGCGGCTCATCCCCACGTCTTCTCTTTCCAATGTTGCTGTAATTAACAGCATAAAGAGGCTATCCGCTTTTAATGTGCGGACCGCTTTACCTCTGGAGACCTCTGGCTCTGCTCTGGCTCCGCTCAGAACAACGGCTCCTGCTTCGCGTCGCTGCGCCGCAGGTGTTTTACAAACTCATTTTACTCTAATACTTTGAATATAACCATTCCCACAAAGGCCGCTCATATTAAAGGCACACATGTCCACTAACTCCTCGTGAAAAGTATTAACAAAAATTACTGCAATAAACGTGTGTGGTTATTATTATTTTTTTCTGGGGCATTGGACCTTCTATGTTTTAGAAAAAATGTAAACGTTAACAAAATCAAAAATGTCTCAGCCTGTACTTGAACCCAGCTCCTTATCATTGAGCTATAAAGCCACAGAAAATCGTTTGGTGAAGAGAGAATAATGAGCGGTGAGAAGCCAATGTTGCTAACCCTGCTCACAAGTGCCACCTGGTGGTTGTTTGGGTCATTGCAGCATCACTGGGGGAAAAACAAATAAAAGACGCGTGTTTCACACGTGAGTCTCGTGCTATTCACGCGTGAAAGGCGACAAAACGAAATGGGACCTACTGTATTTGTGATGGATAAATATTACAGAAAAAAGATGACCTACAAACAAGCTTCCCACAAAGAAAATAATGGGAGACCATGTTCAAAAAAAGTAACTATAATAAAACTATAACTATATCAAAAAAGGAATTCAGACTGTGATACACCTATTTTTTTAAGAAAAGTATTCAAGCTAAAGCAGGATGAAGTACAGTGGGGCAAAAAAGTATTTAGTCAGCCACCGATTGTGAAAGTTTTTCCACTTAAAATAATGACAGAGGTTTGTAATTTTCACCATAGGTACACTTCAACTGTGAGAGACAGAATGTGAAAAAAAATCCAGGAATTCACATTGTAGGATTTTTGAAGAATTTATTTGTAAATTATGGTGGAAAATAAGTATTTGGTCAGTTCAAACAAGGAAGATCTCTGGCTCTCACAGACCTGTAACTTCTTCTTTAAGAAGCTCTTCTGTCCTCCACTCGTTACCTGTATTAATGGCACCTGTTTGAACTCGTTATTTGTATAAAAGACACCTGTCCACAGCCTCTAACAGTCAGACTCCAAACTCCACTATGGCCAAGACCAAAGAGCTGTCGAAGGACACCAGGAAAAGTTTTGTAGACTTGCACCAGACTGGAAAGAGTGAATCTACAATAGGCAAGCAGCTTGGTGTGAACAAATCAACTGTGGGAGCAATTATCAGAAAATGGAAGACATACAAGACCACTGATAAACTCCCTCGATCGCAAGATCTCATCCCGTGGGGTCAAAATGATCATGAGAACGGTGATCAAAAATCCCAGAACCACACGGGGGGACCTGGTGAATGACCTGCAGAGAGCTGGGACCAAAGTAACAAAGGTTACCATCAGTAACACACTACGACGACAGGGAATCAAATCCTGCAGTGCCAGACGTGTCCCCCTGCTGAAGCCAGTGCATGTCCAGGCCCGTCTGAAGTTTGATGAAACGTGGCTGGGTCTTGACAGTGATCCCAAACACACCGCCCGGGCAATGAAGGAGTGGCTCCGTAAGAAGCATTTGAAAGTTCTGGAGTGGCCTAGCCAGTCTCCAGACCTCAACCCCATTGAAAATCTGTCGAGGGACTTGAAAGTCTGTGTTGCTCGGCGACAGCCCCAAAACATCACTGCTCTCGAGAAGATCTGCATGGAGGAATGGGCCAAAATACCAGCTACTGTGTGTGCAAACCTGGTAAAGACCTATAGTGATCGTTTGACCTCTGTTATTGCCAGCAAAGGTTACATTACAAAGTATTGAGTTGAAATTTTGTTATTGACCAAATACTTATTTTCCATCATAATTTATAAATAAATTCTTTACAAATCCTACAATGTGTATTCCTGGATTTTTTTTTCACATTCTGTCTCTCACTGTTGAAGTGTACCTATGATGAAAATTAACGACCTCTGTCATTATTTTAAGTGGGAGAACTTGCACAATCGGTGGCTGACTAAATACTTTTTTGCCCCACTGTATGTCTGTTTCATCCTGGGTTTCCCTAAACCTTTTGTGATTGACTAAACACTGCACCATTGGGTCAGAGTGTGGACAGTGCGATTTGAATAACCTAATGTTCACCCCAATCATTTTTACTCTCCTTCTCTTCCTGAAATGGTTTCATGTTGTGTGACGGTTTTTTTCATTTGGCAGTTCTGAAAATGGAATATTGAAGTCTTAATAACATTATGTAAGATGTTAGCATACCCAAGTCGAGATTATATCTTGTGTTCTGGCAATGTTTCATCTCTCACGTTTGCCTTGATACCCGGAGTGATGTGATTGCACCTGGCTAGTTAGGAGACGTCACTGATGGCTCATGCTCCCGGGTAGATAAACTATGTTGCTATGGAGAGAGGAACATTTAATCCACTCGATGTCAATGATTGATAGATAGAGACTTTATTTATCCCCGTAGGAGAAATTGAGGTGTCCAGTAGCAGCAAAAATAAATAATAAAGTTGATAATTATAAAAACCTGACAATGGGTGGAGCAGGACGTGTCACAGTAGCAGAGGTGGAGTAGCCTCTGGGTGGAGCAGGACAGGTCACAGCAGCAGAGGTGGAGTACCCTAACCCTAACCCTTTTAATGTCCTAAAAATGTTTATAGTAAATTAAAGATGTGAATAAATCATAATGTAACGGTGTTGTGTCATGTGTCCAGAATGTCGGTGAAGCTGAGGTTTGACTCGTCGTCAGATGGAGGGCCGGTTTCCCGGACGCGCTCCTTCACTGGACTGGGATCTTTGACTGGACGCAGGAGGTAAGCATTTTAACATCTTTGATTCTATATTGCAACTTGAACAAGATTAGAAGTCAGATTAGATTAGATTTCTTTATTTGATCCCAGGGAGGAAATTCAGGTACATCTGAAGTATAACCAACACATTAGCTACAAGTAGTTGTAGTAATGATAGCAAAACTAGTACAACAGTTGGTAACACTTTATAATAACTACACCTTATTAAGGCTTAATACATGTTGAAATAGCACTTAATTAATCATGAACAATTCATTAATTAAGTGTGACCAACGCTTAATAACTACTTAAAGCTGCACTAACTGACTTTGAGAAATTTTCTAATGCGAGTGCTGGCCTCGCTCTTTTTGCTCGCCCTCCCCGCACACCCACAGAGCTTTCGCCCCCCACTACCCCCCTCCCCCTCATCCTGTGCTTGCATGCTAAATGTATATGGAGCTCACGTCTCACAATATGGATCTTACATTTGAACGTGGATGGCGTGACCATAGAATGATAGAACCGGGAAGCGCGGAGAGGACGAGACTTTCTTTTGGATGGATGTTTTGCTGAGTAAGCAGTAACCGGTAACGAAGACACGGGAAGCTTCAGGTTAGCCTCCGCCGCTTGTTTACCTCAGTTGCCTGTACCATCAAGAGACCTGTGGCTTTTCTCAGGAAAGCAGGGGCCAGTGGTCTGCTGTGATTGGTCACAATCTGGACCCGAAACACATTCTTTTCCTTATTTCACGAAAACTCAATCTAAATTAAAATGACCCGCCAGCTCAAATCTGCGTTACTTTTTCTTCAAAGCATGCATTGCATGGCTATGGATTGAATTTTCATAATGAATACAAAAATAAAGTCATCTTTAACTTCTACAGTTAATAAATGCTTAACTCATTGTGAATACATCTTCAAGTACTTCACTTGTTCATCATTATTTAATAATTCAATATTTATGGAGTAACCATTTGTTACTACATATATAGATGGTTTGTTACACCATGATTAAACCACATGTTAATGAATAATAATTGTATACTTGATTATAAACTAATACTGCAGTGCATAATTTATTCAGTCAGTTACTAACAGTTAGTTAAGAGTTTTTGTGAGCTTTTGTAAAGTGTACACTATTTACACTTTATTACACATTTGTAGAATGACAATTAATCATTTATTAATACTGCAGTGTCCCCAACCATAAAAGAACCTCTCCATGACTTTTGTAGGGTATGCTGCATTTTTTTGTCCCATAAAAATACACACCAAAAACAGTAATTTTTCGCGTGACGGGCACTGATGTGTCCGTCACGCACCGCGACCTCTTCCATTCACCATTGTGTAAACAATAGGCCCTTTCCCCAGTCATGGCTCGAGCCTAATTACTTGTTTACTCAGTCAGTCATTATCTTGACAAAATTATAACAGTTATCCACAAGAGGCCACAGTGCAGAGATGTTCAAAAAACTTCCTGTTGAACACAACATCACACACGCACCAGGGCTGTGGTTCTGACAATGGGAGATTCTCATGAAAACAATTTCTCTCACAAAACACACAGGACCACCATCCGTCTCTATTATGGACATCCGAGGTTAACGTCGGCACGAATGGGATATAAACTTAGTGAGAAGAGAACAAAAATGTGACACCATCTGACCACCATTTGTAATTATAGAAGAACTATTGTCAATCTGAGAGGAGACAGTTACAGTGCCTTTAAGCTGGGGCACCTAATTTTTAAGCCCCAAAAACTGGAACTATGTAATTTGATCTATTTGACAAGTTCCTGACTTTACCAGTTCCATCCCTAGTTTTCACATTAATCTATTTTTTCCTCTAGATAATCATAGTAATAGTGACTCACAGGGCTCTTTGTTATAAGACAACAAAAATGACATGTTTTGTAATAAGATTAAGACAGAATGAGTTGTGGTCTGATTTTTTTGATGAAACTTTACTTTTACAAGACTTTGTTTCTGTTTTCACAAACAAAACGTATTATTTATGAAAAAAATATCCCTATGTTTGCATAGGTTTCCTCCGGGTGATCCGGTTACCTTTCCCTTAGTTTAGTGCAAATGAGTGTGTTTGTGAGTGCAACGGGGAGCCCAAAGTGACAATCAGGTGTATTTACAGCACCTACTGTTTTTCAATGCACACTGTCCTGTTCAACACTAAATAAATCATATATTAAAAAAATATAATCTCATGATTTTGTTTCTCTTTACAAAAACAAAAAAAGAGTTATAATACCAATTCTAATTTAAAGGAAGTAGAGCTGCATTCAGTCACAGTTCTTCCTGAAGTTTGGCAGAATGCTCTACAAACTGATTATTTTGACACTTAAATGATTGATTCTTTTGCACAATATCCCTTTGCCTTATATTGTAATTTCATCAACATGCATCTTATACTGAGATTGAATCCAAGCATTTATGCATGTGTTGGTCCGTGGTCATGTTTACATTCAGACCTCCAGCTGAGGCCGTATAGCCAACCCATACAACAGCTCGAATTGAATTGAATTCGAATCGTTCGAATTCAAGATGGCGCCTCGTACGGTCGACATGGCTCTTTGCTGCTCTCTTTTTCTTTTGTTGTATATTACTCCCCGCGGGAAATTGTTTCATTCATTCTTGCCTCTGTTTACATACCGCCATGCGCGGATGCGCGCGAGGCTCAGCGCGCACTCGCAGAGCAAGTACTGTGTATGGAACGTTTATACCCGGACTCTCTGATTATTATCCTGGGGGATTTTAATAAGGGAAACTTGAGCCAGGAATTACCCAAATACAGACAGTTTATCAAATGCCCGACCAGAGAGGAGAACACTCTGGATCACTGTTACACCACCGTGCGCGGAGCTTTTCGCGCTGTTCCCAAGCCAGCCCTCGGCTTCTCAGATCACTCCATGATACATCTGGTTCCTGCTTACAGACAGAGACTAAAGCTCTCGAAACCTGCAGTGAGGAGCTCCAAAGTGTGGTCTGATGAAGCTGTGGAAGAGCTGCGCGCATGCATGGAATCTACAGACTGGGACCTTTTCAGAGCTGCCACAGACAGTTTGGATGAATACACGGACACTGTGACGTCATACATTCACTTCTGTGAGGATAGCATCATTCCAACAAGGACCAGGGTCATCTATAACAACGACAAACCCTGGTTCACTGCTAAACTCCGGCAGCTCAGGAAAGCAAAGGAGTCTGCTTTCAGGGAGGGGGACCGCAGCGGCTACAAAGCAGCTAAATATCAGTTCAGGAAAGAACTGAAAGCAGCCAAGTCCCGGCACAGAGAACGACTACAGGAGCAGTTTGGTAACAACGATACTGCTTCTGTCTGGAGGGGCCTACGGGAGATCACCAACTACAAACCCAAAGCCCCCCCCTGTGCTGATGACCACAAGCTAGCTGACAAACTGAACTTATTTTTCAGTCGCTTTGATGCTGCCCCTGACACCTCTCCCTCCCCCACCCCCCACTACTCTAACGACCCACCCATCAGCCCTGCCCCCAGCCTAACAATAGCCGCTAAAGAGATTAAACAACTCTTCTTGAGGCTGCACCCCCGCAAAGCTCCTGGCCCGGACCACGTGTCTCCGGCCACTCTGAGACACTGCGCCAGTGAGCTTACTCCTGTGTTCACGGACATTTTCAACACCTCTCTGCAGTCCTGCCATGTCCCGGCCTGCTTCAAATCCTCCATCATTGTCCCCGTCCCGAAGAAGCCCAGGATCACAGGACTCAATGACTACAGACCTGTAGCACTTACGTCTGTCGTCATGAAGTCATTTGAACGCCTGGTTCTCTCCCATCTCAAGTCCCTCACCTCCCCCCTCCTGGACCCCCTGCAGTTCGCCTACAGAGCCAACAGATCTGTAGACGACGCCATTAACCTGGCCCTCCACCACATCCTACAGCACCTGGACTCCCCGGGGACCTACGCCAGGGTCCTGTTCGTGGACTTCAGCTCTGCCTTCAACACAATCCTGCCATCCCTGCTCCAGGACAAGCTCTCCCAGCTCAACGTGCCCGATTCCACCTGCAGGTGGATCACTGACTTCCTGACGGACAGGAAGCAGCGAGTGCGTCTGGGGAAGAATGTCTCGGACTCTCGGATTATAAATACAGGAGCCCCACAGGGCTGTGTTCTTTCTCCCCTGCTCTTCTCCCTGTACACCAACCACTGCACCTCCAGCCACGACTCCGTGAAGCTGATCAAGTTCGCGGACGACACCACCCTCATTGGACTCATCTCCAACAACGATGAGTCCGCCTACAGGAGGGAGGTGGACCGGCTGGTGTCCTGGTGCAGTGGTAACAACCTGGAGCTGAACGCCCAGAAGACAGTGGAGATGATTGTGGACTTCAGGAAGAGCACTGTCCCCCCACCCCCACCCTCCGTGATGGACTCCCCCATCACCTCTGTGGAGTCCTTCCGTTTCCTGGGCACCACCATCACCCAGGACCTCAAGTGGGAGCCGACCATCAGCTCCCTCATCAAGAAGGCCCAGCAGAGGATGTACTTCCTGCGGCAGCTCAGGAAAGCCAAGCTGCCTGCACAGATGTTGGTGCAGTTCTACACGGCCATCATCGAGTCCATCCTCACCTCCTCCGTCACCGTGTGGTTCGCTGGAGCCACAGTCAGGGACAAACAGAGACTACAGCGCATTGTGCGCTCTGCAGAGGAAGTGATCGGCCGCAGCCTTCCATCGCTGCAGGACCTGTACGTCGCCCGAGCTCGAGGCCGGGCTGGTCGTATCACAGCCGACCCCTCTCACCCTGCACATGGACTATTCCAACCACTCCCCTCAGGCAGGAGGCTGCGGTCCATCAGGACTAGAACCTCCCGCCACAAGAACAGTTTCTTCCCCTCTGCTGTTGGACTCTTGAACACTTCGTAACCTGTCCCCCCGCCCTTTATAAAGTCACTTTACTGCCCATCATACGTCACTTTACTCCACTGTACTGCTGTCACCTTACATCAGGGGTGTCAAACTCATTTTGGTCCAGGGGC